GGGCTCCCCCCGGCCCCCCGCGCCTGCCCGGGGCTCGGCCTGTCCCCCCCCGGGCCCGCAGCCCAGCCAAGCCCGGCTCAGCGCACCTCGCAGCATCGCTCTGCCCCAAGCTCAGGTCACTCGGCTTCAGCAAAGCCCCCTCGCCCCTCTGCCCGGGGGTCACGCAAAGCCCCTCTGGCCTCTCAAGGCAAGGCTGTGAAGCACAGGCAGCCCCAAGCAGGCAGAAAGGCTCAAGGCGTTCCCAAACACCCCGAAGGAACCGAGAGAGGCAGAGCCCCTCCTGCTCCTCCTCCGCACCGAGCCTGGGCAGTCCAGCACGGGAAGGGGCAGCCACACCGCAGGGAGAATATACCCCCACCAGCGGGAGAAACAATCCATGTTTGGGGTGAAAATAAGTTTCCTCCCCCATGGAAAATGTGAGGCACCAATTAACTATCTTAATTGCAATGTGGTCTGTCCTGTGATCTCGGTGCTGCATGTCCTGCACCGGACATTGCTATATTTCCCTTTTGCTTCCGCACTGATGGCCTTGTCTCTTCATTTCCTTCTTAATCTAATGAATTTGTGAGGCAGGGAAAGAGCTTGGGTAGGGTATGGTGTAGTTTGACAAAGGGTTTAATCACTGGGAGATGAAAGGAATCCAAATCCAGCCTCTTCCTCAGAACAGGACTACAGAGGCTCTTTACAATCAGCTCACACTTGTCACGTCCCACTCAGCTGAGGGAGACAAGTGACTTGGATTCATAAATCCCCAGCAGAGCGGACAATGGTGAGACAAGTCTCTCACTCCACTCCAGCACTCTCCAGATGCAAACGGGCAATAGGAGAATGAAGATGAACGGAAGGATCTGTAGCAGAAAGGGGCATCGATTAGGACAGCAGAAGGCATCCCCACAACATCAGCCCTTAGGCTTGCAGTCCTTACAGGGCTGAAAAACAAGGACATCTCACCATCCTGCTGGGGAAGGAGCAGTGTCGCCCTCAGCTGAGCAAAGTCCATGTACCATCCTCCTCCTCACAGGGATCCACATACAGGGGTGCCAGCAGCACCCTTGGAGTTCTCCCTATTTGCTCCGAGCAACCAGTGCTGCATTCTAATGGAGCCTCATGTCCTCACACCTCCTATCCTGTACCCTGGGATGCTGGGGAAATGGGCCAACTTCCCAACCCCAAAACTGGTCACACTATGCTTTTTGTAAGAACCTGCTGCCCTGTTAAGGCTCCCAACAGGGATTTTACTGGCTAAATGGCCAGCTGAGCATGGGCAGTGTCTGGATCTTGACTATCCATTTCTGTGTTATAAAGCCTCAAATTCATATTAATCTTGCCAGGGTGATGATACTGAGATACCACAAACAAACAAACAAGTAAGCTTTATAGCTTCAACAACAGTGAGCTGAGTTCTGACATTTTGCACTGCATTTGCTTTGGCAGGACTGTGAAATGGATAATAGAGAGCAAAATTTGGCTTTGAAAATACAATAACTACTGCAACAGCCATTTTATCCTATCTATGTACCTGAAATAGTGCACAGAAATCTCTCCGTCTTAGAAAGTGTTGTCAAGACTGAAGTCAGGCCCCTGAATGTCATTTATTTGCTGTGAAATACAGAAGATGGAAATGGAACAAACCAGAGAAAGAAAGGAGTATCTCAGGTCTAGGTTATTGAATACAATCCTGGAACATTAGATTGTTTCACAGGGACAAGTCACTCAAAGCTAAATACTTCACAGCTGCGACCGATAGCGTGTTGTTCAGTTCCTTGCTGCTGAGTTCATGCTGCAGGGGTTGCTTTACAGATGTGCTGAGCTCTCGGGTAAAACTCAGATCAAGCAACATAATGTTTTTGCACAGAGACAGCACTAGAGAATACTTAGTGGGTGGGGGAGTGTGTGAAAGGAAATAAACAAAAAATAAACCAATAACAGATCTTAGTTATCTTAAATTGGACACTCAATACTAATGAATAATTCTGGTTTATCTTCTCACACTTTGTAGATTTACAAAATGAAGTTATGCCCTCCACAAACACACACATACACACCCAAGAGCAGCAGTAAGAGAATACTTGTAATTACTGAATTATACAGACACTGCACTATGGAGTGTTAAATAATAATTTTTTTAAAAGCTATCAGGATGTTAGTTCTTTCTTAATAGCACAAAATAAGAACACAGTGGGACACACAATAATACAAAAAACAAGTATTGCCTCCATGTACTGAAAAAAGAAAGCATTGGGGAATAAGATGGTGTGTTCTTATAAGAAAATGATTCATCAGAACAAATGCAGAGTTGGGCTGACTTCGGGCTATATTAGGAAAAAGTAGCATTTGAGCTTGACATTTCAACCTTGAGAATGTCCTTTCTAGTATAATTTTGGTAGCTGATCATGTGAACAGTGTGTGCACATGTTTGTACACAAACACCATGTTAAGACATTTAAGACATGAGAAATATTTTATTGCTGTATTATTATTTAGAAACTGTACTCAGAAGATTCTTTCAAGATTTACATTTGTATTCAAAGTCAATAAATTATTATTAGACAAATAACTCGTTCATATATTCATTCTTCTTTCAATTTAGAATAACAAGCAATGTTAGGAAAATGAGGGATAAACAATATGTTTCACGATTTAGAACTCTCCTGCAGTTCTGTAAAAAAGATCGATTTTTAGTTGCACTATATGCACAAAGACAGTGCTGGAAGAGGAATTTGCAGTGAATCAACAATTTTGTAATTTCTCAAGCATAGGCAGTTTTGAGCTAATCTTGAAAACTTCAGCTCGCAAAGAAACTTTTTTTAAAAGAAAGAAAATTTATTTTAAAAAAATAAGACTTCTTGTTTTTAATAAATTAAATTAAATATTTCATTTTAACCCTTCCAAAACACACATACACACAAATTCATTTATTCTTCCTTGGGGCCAGATTCTGATACTTCTGCTGAATAACACCGAAAGTCATCGATCTAAAGTCCTCATCGAGCAAGTTGTTTTCTTGTTTGATGGTATGAGATTATTCCTGAATCTGACCATCTTTTCTTTAAATTGTATTGATGTAGGATCAAGCCTTACCATCGATGCTGAAAGAAATTCCACTGATTTAAACACTTAGCTGTTAATAAAGACTAGCATTTTTCAATGGTGCCGAATTCAGTTGTCGTGGGGGGCTGGAGGTACTCGCCGTCCCCGCAGTCACGTCTAGAAGTTATTATCCATATTGAGGTACAGATCAGGGCACCTCTGTTGTTGGCAGCATACAGATACAAAAAGTTTCGACGGTGATATCACCTCAACAGCAATGGGAAAAGAGAAGTGGCCCAAACCTGAGATTTTCAGCACACTCCATGGTATGTGGTGGTTGTACATTTTCCATATATAGAAGGAAAGTGTGCACAATGCTCTAGGTGTCCTAAAAGTAGATTTATCTTCAGCCTTTACTCTCCACCAAATACTCATCCGAAAAGCCTGCTGTCTTCCCTATAAAACTTAATTTCCCTGTGGAAAGGTTCTAACTGAGTGGAGTTTAGAGCAGTTTCAGGGTTGTTTCCCATCTCTGTAAATCTGACCATAGGGGTCTCTTGAAAGAAAATTGTTAAGAATTTCCAACTGGACTATGTAATCACAGCGCCTGGTATCAAGAGGAGGGGGAGTGACATGAAATCACTGACTTGTGACATACATTCCTCAGCAACAGCAGCTGCTGCCTAATGACAGCTAATAAAGGGAATCTTCCCTTGACGGAGCTGCGTGCCTGCAGTGAGACTGGAATGTGCCCCAGATAAATCCACTGATAACCTAGGAAGCAGAGATCACACCCAAAGAGTATAAAAGACAAACTTTGGAAGAGAGAGGATAGGACAAGGAAGAGAGAGACCTGAAGAGACATCTCAGGAGAAACAGCTTGAACTTCCCTACTCCCAAAGAACCCAGCGCCATGGACACTAAAGGCTCATTTTCCTGTGGATTCATCTTGCTGCTGCTCATCCAACTCCAGTCCAGCAGAGCCAACCCCATCTACAACCTCAGCCCTGTCAAAGAACTGGCCAGCCTGGAGGTGAGGACTCTTTCTTTTTGCAAGGTTAAATTTTTGGGGTGCTTAGCAGAGTGTAAGGTGGTGGGTTTTGACTTTCTTCTGCGTGATCGGATAGCCACATTGGTGATCACATGCTGGGGGACAAAATCTCAGTTCTTCACAGGGGTTCAGAGAGGCTCTGTAGAGCAGTATCACCCCATGCTGGGTTCACTTGAGCTTCTGGGTAGCAGCGGGAAACAAAATTCTGATGTTGTGGGATGTCCGCATTGGGTTTTCGGTTCTTTTAGATATCCACCTTCTTGGGAGCAAAGTCCCAGAAAGGGAAAAAAATCATCACAGTAGCTCTATAAGAACAAACAGAAAACTTTCAGGTGGGACCCTGTTTATCCAAATAAATGGGAGGAACAGTGAAGAGGGACAGCCAAACGGCTCTAGTTTTGTGGATTTAAGACAACTGACTGAATGTGGATGGGGAGATGAGGAGGTAAAGTGGAGCACCCAAAGTCAAACTTTTAGATGTTGCTGGAGGAATAGTATGATCAGTTAGTGTGACTCATCCAAAAAAGATTCTACAGCTATGAAATTACTCGATGTATATTTTAATGAAATTGTTGCAGCACGATACAAGCTTAAGACTCAGTCTTGCAAGATGAAGTCTGAAAGCTCAAACTTTTCCTTGGACTGGTACCAGTGACCAGCTTCTCACAGGAAAAGACCCTGAGAACAAACTCCCTAAGATGATTAGGACAGTGTGAGTCAAAGCTAAAACTGCCCCATGTGTCTGGGCTGTTTCCAGCAGTTAGCTGAGAAGAGTGGCTTCCAAATGCATTCACTGTTAAGCAAGCCATAAGGCTCATTCCTCTCCACATTGCTTCTCAAGATGGACAATGAGATTCCTCTAATTAGTTGAGTGGCCCTTGAGGAGGTTATCTGATCCCTGTCACACAAAGCTTTAAAAATTATAGAGAATGGTACCCAGGAAGAAGTAGCGGACATAAATTTAGCATACAGGTATGTTCAGGGAGATGTATGTTACTTTAAGGAGCAGCAATTCTGTAACTTCTGGGGCAGAGACTAGTGAAAACCCCAAGAGCTTCTCCAAGGGATGTCCACTGAAATAGCCAGGGGGGACAAGCAAGCAGATGGTCTGAGACAAAAAAAAAAAAAAAAAAAAAAAAAAAAAAAAAAAAAAAAGAAAAGCCAACCACTGGCAAGCAGCATTGCAGACAGCTTCTGAGAACATGGGAGTGGACTGAATCCTTTTCAGAGGCACTTTGAGATTGTGTACTATTGCTGGGGTGAGTAGTATCTCCCTGTGCAACTCAGACCTTGCTTTTTTTCTCTGCCAAGAGCTCTTTTAACCTTGTCAGTAAGATACACTTTGGTGGCAAGCAGCTTCATTCAGCTCTTGTCTAGAGCTACCCATAGGGGGAATTCAGGTGAACAGGGATTTACTGCAGAGGACAGGGCTCAAGCACCACCAGCAACCCTGGGATCCAACCTGACAGTCTCCCTAGGGCTGGCTATAGGACTATTAATGAATGCAGAACTGGGTAACTGGAAGAGCTAGCAAATGACCACAAAACTAGGAGTTTCATGAAAACAATCCTTCTATTGTAGGCTCTGCTAGAGAGACTGGAGGATAAGTTTGCAATGATTGAAGCTCTGGAGTCCAATACTGACCTGCAAGAACCCAAAACCCAGGAGGAGATCCCACCAGAACTCACAGATGACAGTGATGACCGGAAGGCTGAACCCAGGCTGGCACCCAGCACCCCTCTGTCCTACAGGGACCCCTTCCTCAAGAGACTGAGGGGGCTGCAGATGCCCAGGATGATGAGAGATTCTGGTTGCTTCGGGAGGAGAATTGATAGAATCGGCTCCCTGAGTGGAATGGGTTGCAATGGTGAGTCCCACCTAAGCCATTTCGCTGAATTGTGTCATGCACTGAAGAGTAGGTTCTCATTTCAGTCTTCAATAAGACACAGTTTGAGAAAGGAACGCATTTTAGCTTAATATTTAAACTAGCGTTGGTTTTTCAAAATAAACCCTCTGTCTATTTATTTGGTAGGTAAACGTGTTGCTGACAATGGTGGCCTATACTGAGATAGAAACAGATTCTAGTAACATTTATTTCATGTTTGGCTTGCAGGTTCCAGGAAGAATTAGGACAACATCCCTACACCCGACTCTGAAGAATGCTTTACAGTACCTGTTCCTCCCAAGATGAAAGCCAGATGCTTTCCAAGCTCTTCAACAGAAAGTTATTCCTATTTTTATTTATTTATTTATTTATTTATTTGATGTTTTTTAAAGAACATTTCTTACTCTAGCACCAAGAAACCATCTTTAAATAAAACCAACATGTTAGACATCTATGCTGGACCTCTCTCCTGTCTGTTGCATTAAAATTTCTTGTATTTTCCTGAAGTCAAAAGCCTATGTTTTATTGGTACTTTGGTACCCACAAGGCTGGATCTAACTTACACAAGATGGAGAAGGTATGAACTTGGTAGAAAGATAAATGAGTTTTTCACTAGAGTTTTTTCCTCTGCACTAAGAAATTGTAACAGATTAGCCGGAAAAAAAAGCTTGCTCAACATAGAAAGACCAACCTGAGTCCTCCTATAGACAGGGTTTCAGTAACAAGACAGTCCTTTTGCTGGTGTAGATTATTCAGTCAAGGGAACTGCCAGAAATCCCTCACATAAGCAAGTTTTACATGAAAAGAAATAAGAAAAATTGTAACACTCCACAAGTTTCAAGATAACCAGAGGGAGGAAAGGGAATTCATTGTATATGCTTTCTAGCACTGAGCAAATAAAGGTTATGAGCATCAACAGAAAGATACATCATTAACTGTGTCTTGTCTCACTGTGCATGTGGCCGAGGTGCTGATCCCCAGTGTTCCCTGATGGATCCTCAGTGGGCTTGAATCCTACCATGGTATTTCTCATGTGAGGGCAGATGGGATCACTCCAATTACAAAGCGACTTATACAAAACATTTACCACTTCCTGGAAATGGCCCCTCATAAAGTTGTTCTAAACATGGTTAATGGGAACACTGCAAGTCTGATAAAGGTTTCATTTAAGCCTTTGCAGCAAGATTTCATACCTCTGATCTGAGTTTGGCCTAAAACACATTCTCCCCCCCCTCCAAATAGGGTTATATTGCCAAGACCACATACAGTTAGCACCCCAGGGACCGAACAGCTTGGATTCCCATCAGCCACAGCAACGGCATTGAGCCCAGGCTCAATGCAACTGTCCTGTGACTGCATGTACCACTAGAAACTGCATTATTTTGAGCATCTAATTTTGGGTCTCGTTCCTTAGCATCCATTACTTGAGCACCCCAGCAAGCTCAGTCAGGGTCTAAGAACACAGCAGCACCAGGGTACACTCAGCTGCAGAAGTCTAATTCTGACTTTGTTTATACATATGTGCCCACAGAGAGGAACAATACTTGGTCAAGATAGGTTACAGGGAGGCAGATGTGCCAGAGCCATGACAGTTCCTAACAACAGCTCTCAGGAACCATAGCTACTGTGATACTGCAAGCCTGAGTGCTGAATGGCACGGCACTCCTGCACATGCCTGTTCACAGCTAGGGCTGCTGCGCCACTGTTACAGGGTTTATGTCACACATCACATTTCTGACAAGCTACCCTCCCAGTCACTCCCTGCACTACTGACACTGAGAGGCACCTGCGTGTCCCTGCCATGCTGGGCCTTGTGATTCTTCCTCAGGGAAGAAGATCAGAAGCCTACTCTGAGGCAATCATTTTGCTCCACTTCAAGGGGAAACAACACCGAGTGTGATACAAATCACATGTCAGAGCCTCTCCTTCCAGCAGCGTCAGCCAAAGATAAAATACTCTGTGCAATATGCCCATGTAGGTTTCCCTGGCAGGAGAATCAATTCCCAGGTCAAGACTCCCAGCCGCTACCACGAGACATCTCTGCAGCAAAAAAACTACTTTGCATTTACTCAGAAACGGTTTCACAAATCTAGGTGGTATTAAGTCAACCTCTAGGGAGCCTTTGTGGGAACAATGGGGCTTTGTCCTCTCAAACAGAATTTCCAAACACACCCCTGCTGCAGCAAGACAGGAATGCTCAGGTAGATCCCTCCACACTAGGATGGGCAACAGCCTGACTTCCCATGTGCTGCTATAAAGGAAAGTAAAAACAATCCTCATACTCTTAACAGCCCTTGCTGGAGCTGAATTTTACCCAGTCAAGCAAAACTTGCATAGACACTGTAAATTGTCCCTCCCTGTCAGCCCCTCAAGGCACAAAGCACTAATGAGTTCAGTGGAATGTGCTAAAAATGGCAAGAAGAGTTGGTGCTGCCTGACCCAAAGCCAGGTGGGTCCAGTATTAACAGCAAGCCAGTTCCTGGTGGAACAAGTCTGTATTGGCTTGCAGACAGTATTTTAATAGACCCTGCGGTCTGGGAGAACCTAATTGAGAGTAGGCAATCTAGGAAAAAAAGCATCTCTGTGGCTGGATTTTTACTGCTATTCCCATAAACACACTGAGCTGTAAAGGTCCCCCAGGGAAATCGCGGAGTCAGGTCAGAATCGGACGGCACACAGAAACGAGCACTTGGAAAAGCTGAATGAGAGACACTTAGCACTGATCGGCTCTAGAGGCAAAGAGTATCACCTCCAAGGACAAGCAAAGCTACCACTGTTGCTGTGTGAGCTGGATCAGAGAGAGCAGGGAACTGTCTTGGGAGCAGCCAGTCCCACATAAGCACTCACAGAAAAGCAACCCACTCCTTATGGAGAAAGCAAGGACATCTGAAAGCTAAATGTCTCTCCAGAGCTGCACTGATTGCCTTCTGAAGAGGGTACAGAAAGACTGTGACCAAGAGGGTGCATACAGAAAACATAAAAGGCTCCACCAGGAACTTGCTTTAAGGGAGGCCAGGAATTTCAGCCTGTAGGTGCAGAAATGAAGGATCCAGGAGCAAGCTAGCAAGTGAATTAATTCATCATCTGTTTCACAGAACAGCCATACACCCTGTGACGCAGCAGTACCAATGGCAAGTGACACAGTTCTGTTCTTCACAAAGGTCAGCAGTGGAAGAAAAGGCGGATACCACAGCATGGGATGCATTACATGTTCGTGCTCTACCTTACATTGCAGCAACTTGGACTTGTGTTCATGGCTCAGAGATTCAAAGGACAGTCCTGTTGTCCCATATACACATCAGGTACTAACCTGTCAGCCTTTTATTTCTTCTGCTTCTGCTGTCACTGCAGTGGATTTGCACAGTTGCACGTTATCCACAAAAGGATACACATATTCCTTTTAACTAGGCCCTGCTCTCTTCCAGCAGTAGCCATTCTGCACAGACCCACATCTAAATGATGTGGAAGGATCCACCTTCGATGCCTGTAAATTCTGAAAACTAATCCTAGTAGAACTTTTTGAAGGAAAATATGGGATTGGACAGGAGGAGAAACAAGTAGTACCAGACTCTTGCGAGGGCCTGAACTGAAGATATGTTAATCTTCAGTTCTATGTTAATTCCTACTAAGTCTTCACGCCTATCCAAGATACATCTCAAGTCTTCTAGAGAAAATTCCCCTAGGGGAAGGGAAGGTTGGTGATGTGTCAGTAATAGTGTAGGAAAAAAGGCCATGCAACAGAACAAGCACTTTAGAATTTTGCTTTAGGAACTGTGCTGTGAGTTAGCCCCAAGACAGGGAATCAGTGTAGCTTGTAATTGTAAACAATTCAGAAACAGTCTAAGCATAGGATGTCTTTGGGAGAAAGATACCACCGCAAAGCAAGAGCTAATGTCAAAAGCAGCTAATGCAGGTTTGGTTCCAAGTAACTATTCAGCACTAAGCATGGGGCAGGGTCCTGAAATCCTACCCTCCTCCACCCTGTCAGGCATCAGAGGGCTTTATAAACCGTAATCAACCCCCCACAACACAGCACCTAGGATGCATCCAAGTGCTATCATGCTCATTGTGCAAAGGAAAAAATACCCCAGTGGGATCAGAGAAGGAGCAGGCTAACACCCACCACCCAGCTCTAATGACATTTGCCACCTCCTGCAATGCCAGACTTCATACTCATTTCCTAATAGCTTCTGGCAGTAACCCTCACTGGCAGTGCATAATTCAGCAGCTTTCTTTCCTTTGAACTTGGAAATACAGTAATTACACTAGCATGCTTCATGCACACTGTAAGGCACAAGCCTCGTCTGGAAAAGTGACCTGGTTGGCATGGTTTTTTTTTTTTTTGCAAATTAGATTTGAGGGTTTCTTTCCCCCTCAGACGCTGTACTATCCCCTTCCAGCTTCCCATTAAATGAAATGTTTCACTGAAATCCCAGTGTGCAGGTAAGAATGCCAACAGGAGCTGTCACCACTGCTTTGTTTCTCTAAGAAATCATACGTGAAGTATAGGGCACACATCCTCCGCTGCTGCAGGGAAGCGTGGAGCTGTGCCAATCTGCATAACAATCTGGCCATATCCAGCTTGCTTGATTTACTTTCACTGAAGCTTGGCCCCCAAAGGCCTTTCCTGATTGACATCTGCTTGATAAGTGTGTCCCAGTCATCCTAGGCAGCAACTCTTTACAGACAACAGTACGCTGGCACCATGCCCAGAGCCACAGGCTACCAGCAGTATGGTCATACAGTTCAGAATTTAACAGAAAGCCTGTTGACAGCTCTGCCGTGTTGAGAACAGCCTCTCCTCCAGCCTCTTGCAAGCTTACCCAGAGGTACAGCTCCCATTAGACAGTTGGCACCCAGTTGTCCAACACTCATCTCAATTTTCACACCGAAGAAGGAAGAGTCCAGAGACATGCTGACAGATAAAGGGGGATCTTTTCTGGTGCTTTTCTCACACCTTTGAGGTGTGAAATGTCTTGAAACAAATCAAGAACATTTCTTGCAGCAGATGTCCCTGTTCTGTCATTCCCTGCTGGAGCTGAACCATTGCCATTCCAGTAACAGCCGCTATGGACAAATAATTTAAAAAGGGAACCTTCTGCTGGCTCCAATCCCCAATCCTTTACCAAAGCAAGTGATAGAATGCAGTGGGCTTTGTTCTTTGAGTCTTATTCCTGCCATCATTGCAAGTATAAAGGGAAGAGGTGTCAAGATCAGTCTCACAATGAGGAGAAATAAAACACCAGAGTGAAACAAAAAGGCAGGAAGAAACTTTAAGACCACAGGATGGGCCTCACTGCTGGCAGCCAGAAACCACTGCTGCCTTTGGTCCTTTTCATTGATCGCTTGTAATAGTTTCCGAGGCCAGCTTTCCCATCATCCTATCTGAACAAACCAAAGAAATTAGTACAACTGGGGTTCCTAGTTCAAAGAAACCTGAGCACATCAGTTCCTCTCTCAACGGTACAACTCACCCTTTGTAAATAGAAGGTTATACCATGCCTGTATTTTGTTTTCCTACCAGGAGATTCTATCCCTGGCTGATATATTTCCACAAAAAAAAAAAAAAGGGGAAAAAAAAAAAAAAAAAAAAAAAAAAAAAAAAAAAAAGAAAAGAGAGACAAATAAAGGGCTTACAGTTATAATCACAGTTTGGGGTCTTTTATGTGGGAAGGAAGGAAGGAGGATTTCGCCTTCCGATCACCCTCCCATCTCCTGAATGCTCTCTTGTAAAAAGCAGCAGAATCCTGTATAGATAAAGAAGCAGAGTTTGGAGGGGGCAAAGTTTTAAGATAACAGAAGTTAGTGAGAAGGCAGCTAGGTCAGGCCTGCTATGCTGGGAGTTGAGAAGAAGCAAAAGAACAATAAAAATCAATGTGTAAAGTTGGCTATCCCATATTCTCTAGTGTAAGCACCAAGGAGCTGCTGGGGCAGTCAACAGGGGTCTCAGGGTTGTCCTGTCCTTTCTGTTAAAGAGTTATGAGTTCTTCAGCACAGTACTGTTTTCTGTGCTCATCTATTCAGACTGGTGTATATGGGTTCCAGTCTCCTGCTCCTAAATGCTTAAGAATCACCAAAATGCTTAAGAATCACCAAATGTCAATCACACATGGCCCATACAGAGACTTGTGCTTATATTTCTGCAGTTTTGTAACAGCCTGGAGAAAGGGACATCGTGATTGCTTTTAAAAAGTGATCTCAACCTCTAAACCTCACAAACTGATACCCCTTCACTTCCCAGACAGTGGTGGAACTCACTTGCCATCTCATTCCAGCTGTGAATAAGGTTTTTCACACACTGCATCTGAAAAAAGCTATAGTGAATGCTGAAGAGGCTGAGTGTAACCCACTGCGGCTGAAAAGCGCTTCAGCACCCTGGACAAGAAGAACAGCTTCATTCTCTCATCTTGCACACAAGTGCAGCCACAGCTCCGGGCAGCCATCCTCTGTTTCTTCCTGTGAGTGCTGCATGATACACACCTGTATGTGTATGCACACATGCTAAAGTAAGCAGCTTGTACCCTGCCAGCAAAGCAAAAATTTTTAAAAAACCAACCTCACTGACCACCACTAAATTCTTCTGCTACATACACAGTTTACAGGTATGGGGATCATGAAACATGATTGGATTTAATGAGTCTATAAACTTTGGTAGAACAGGATTTTAATCTAAACATGAAGTTGATTGCTTTAAGCATAAATTACACAGCTTTTCTAGTAACCACCTTTGTCACCCATGATAAAGTACAAGACAAACCACTTGTAACTGGTTTCGATTCCTCCTTCTTCGGGCTTTTATTCTCTGGAATAGAAATCACCTTGCATATAATCTTGACACCCAAAGCAGCCCTAAAGCTCTAACGAAGTGCCTGGTATCTGCATCAGTCCAGCTGACTGCTTCAATACGTTTGGCTGCAAGGAAGTTGCCATTACACCAAACTGTCAAGCTGTGTCTGTAAGTGTGGACAGACACACCTCTCCCATCCCTCTTTTTTGGGGGCAGGAGGTGAGAAAGTAGACAAAAGACATGGCCTGTTTCCTCCTTTACTGTTATGCTGAAGTGGCAGCTGATGTACCTCAATTTTAGGAAGAAAATGTTTCTCTCATTCTCTCCTACATTACTGCACTTGTGACTGAAGGCAGTAGCAGAGCTGAAGCACAGTTTCCCCTGCTCTTTCCTCCTGATGACTCTCTTCTACCCTGATTCCTTGCCAGGAACACAGCTTAATTAAGACCACCATGGGAATTCTTATTTAGCTCCCAAACACAGATTTTCCACCATCCCTGCTCAACAGGTGCTTTTATCTATTTCAAGCTCTCCTTGTCATTACATACACACCAAGCGAGAGACTGAGGGCAGGAGCCAGACAAGCTTCTGGGTAACTTCATATTAGAGTGCATCAGAAAGCTGCTATGTGCATCCTGTACAACACAGCTACCTAATCCAGAAAAGCAGCACAATCATGGAGCTTTTGGGTCTGATATTTCTACACTGCTCTGTACTTCCTCACATTTTTGGCCTGTAAGCACATGACAAAAGATCAAAAATTGTCACAAGTTTTTTTCTGTAAGGTAAACAGCATGATAAAGCAGGAAAGATATCCACAAACAAAATAAAAACTGAAGATGAAATTAATATTTTTCAGATCCTGGAGACGTTACCCGTAAAACAAGAGATACAACACTGCACTCTAAATGTCTTTCATTAACTTACTGGGAGGAAAGTAGAAAGCAAAGAGTTCTTGGGTAAGAAAAGCAGCAGTTGCCTCTAGCACAATGTGCATAACTCAGCTCCTTATTACCATCTGGTAATTTGGTAATTCCCTCCTTTTAAACAGCTGTTGGAAGAGAACATGGGACTAGAGTGGTCACAACCTAAAGAATTACACCTATCTTTGCCCACAAACTGTTAGATCCAGACAGGTCACAAACAGCAACCACTCATCTACCTCAAACCATGTTCTTGGATATTGCCAGGTTCTACTAGTTTTATTGTAGTAAAGGGCAAAAAATAGGACAACACTAGAAACATCAAAAGGCCTTGAAAGTGCTGAAGGAGACACACAAACATTTTACTCTCAGACATGTTATGGTTACATGAATACTTCCCAAGTGCCATAGTTCAAATAAAAATATATTCATACAAATTTAAAAAAAATACAATTTATATACACCGTGGAATTAGCTTACATCATTTCATAACAAAAAACAGTGCAAAAAAACAAACGGAAAGGTAAGTTGCTACCATCGGAATGGCTCACAGTAAGTTAACAATTCAAAACCACAAAATTAACACCGCACAGGAAACCTCCAGGGGAGAATGTCCCATACTACCTCCTAACTTTTGCCATCAATACTAATCCAGTTCTTGGTTGCTATTCCTTTAGTGTTGCTCTGAGTAAAAGGTTACAGGCACCTATGTTAGAAGTACATTTCTTGGTAAATTACTAAGCAACCAGAGCCAGAGTAGAAGCAGTTAGTGTGTTGTAAGAGAGGAATTAAGTGATCAAAGTGTGAGAACAAGACTGATTCAACACAAGCCCCTCTGCATCAGTCCTTAGCAGAAGAGAAATGCTGCATCTCCAAGTCAGATGAACTTGCAATTCCCTTTCTGCAGGCTACATAACAGTGACTGCACACTGAGATTTCCCTTTAAAGCAGCTGACAGGGTCACCCACTGTCCTCGTTTAAAACTTCTTTACTGACAGAGTGAAATGGGTGTGTTTTCCATCTGAAACGTTTGAATAAGATAGATGCACAGGCAGAGCAGACAGTGCTGACAGCAGGCTGAAGGCTAGCAGCCTTCTCATGGGGAAGCACAGCTGGTGCTCTGACAAACCTTGACAACATTTTTCAGACAGTTGTCTTGACTGGATTGCCTAACTCCAAGTCTCAGTAGCAATGACAAGACATCCTGAAGCAAAATATACTGCTGCAGTTTGTGTATAGAAATAAAACAGAACATGACCAGCTCAAGGTAAACAATCTAAGGAGCCCTATTCATGTGCAAGAAGAGAAGGAACCTTTCACACACAATCACTCAACATGAGCAAAAGGAAAAAGATTTGTCATGGAGAGACATAGGGCATTCTTGACAAGTGTTCTGACAGTATGGGATTGCTAATTCCACGTTAGAGTCATTTGAAATCCCATCAGAACAGGATTTCTGTGATTTGTAACTGCCCACAAGCACAAATCCTTTGAATGAAAGGTAGGTTAACAGAAGCACATTTCAAACCTACAGTCCAGCTTCAGGGAGTGCAAAAGGGTGTTGGAAGTTTCCTAGGATAGCTCAGCACAAAACCAGAGCTCAGGGAACACAGGCATTTTAGAAATCATTGGCAGAGACTATCCTGAGAGAACAAACATCCTTACTCTACTTGTAGGGAAAGAACTTGCAAGTCAAGACCAGCAGCTAATGCCAACACATATGCTCTAAGGAACATGCCACACCTGTCCCAGCTAAGGAGCCCAGGTTGAAGGCACAAAATGGATACTGGCTGTAGGAAAACACTTTCACTTTACTCTTGGAAGTTTAAGAGCTTGCATGCCTTATCTGAAATGGAGCTAGGATATTCAGAAGTCAGCAAAACTATTTTAGCGGAGGAGACAAGAGCTGCAAGTTCCACAGTAATTAAGGAAAAAGAACTAATGTATTCCCTGCTCTTTAGATAGGTCACTTCCCAGGCAGCTCTGGAGGGTGGGCATAGTTAACAAAGGGTCCTGGGACACACAGAGCTTCCTTTGCAACAACTGCCATTGCACGTACCACAGCCCACTCTTCCCTCTGTGGAAATGATGTAAATCCATTCCTGAAAACAAAGATCTCTTAATAAAGCAGCAGGTGGGAAAGAACACCAAGTGATAAAAAGGCCTCCAGATGTCAATGGAGAGGAATAAAAATTAAAGTCTAAGTGCTTACAAACAGCTTTGCTAAAACCAAACTTTCCAGCTGAGTCATGCCATGTACTGTATGACAAGGACAAATTCTACCCTAAAATATGGCCTCAGGAACCACCTGTAAGACCAAGTTGTCTCTCATCTGTGGGACAAACTCAAGAGTCTCCCATGACTCAGCTGTCCTTATTACAAGCACAGCCAGAGAATACATCTGTCTACCAACTATCTGAACTGCAAAGACACCACTAACATCTAAGAGTTGCAGTGACTTAAAGAGCCTTAAATCAAGACCATGGTTTACCTGGGCACAAAACCTCCTCCTAACCCTAACTGTAGTAGGGCTCAGCAGCCAGCAGTTTTCAGAGAAGTGCCCTGGAACAATCAGTTTCCACAAAGTCAGTCAAATAGGCTGTTTTAACAAATTTAGTGTTTTGACACATGGAAGGAAAGGGCACAACTTCTTCAGGCGTAGTCAGAAAAATCTTCAGCATAGATGAGTTCCTGAAGTCAAAACATACAATAATGTCTGACTTCCTTCTGCCACAACTTTCATCTAGCTAGCTCCTTACAGCAGACAACAGGTTAACTGCAGCACTCCGAGGCTTTGTAGAAGTTTTTCTGAGATACATTCCCCATGTTATTTGGCCCAGTCTCTTGGCTGAGAGAATGCTCTGTGCTTTATCAAGCCAATCAGCTCTCCAGCCCCTGGAGGCACAATGCTGGCTTCCCACTGAGGGTTATCTGTATGCAAAACTCAGGAGGGCAGGTGCCCGCTGGAACAATACAGGTGCTGGCCAGGATGGTACCTGCTAAAGCAGTAAACTGGCTGCAACTGGCTTCCAAGTGCTGATTTTACCCTTACAGATATTCGGCTGTTGCAGTTGCAAACATTATCCCAAGCATTTTTAGAGCACAGACAGTCCCACTTATCATCCTGCAGCAGATCCTGCCTGTTAGACAGCAGCACCAAGTATCTCTCCTGTATGGCAGCCTGAAGTTACACCAGCAACTCACATAACACAGAGATAATTCAACCAAGACCAGAGACAGGACATCAGTTCTACCTGCCTCCAGAAAGCAACACTTCACCATGCTCTGAGGACATGGAGTTTCCTGGTCTCTAACCCTAGCTGGAAAGGTATCCCAGGCTCTCACTGTTGGATCAGTACAAGGAGTTAGTGCCTACAAGTGCCAAGAAATGAAGTGTCAGGGTAGTGACGAAGTGGAGTGCCACAAAAGGCCTTAGAATAGCCTCTTACAGGGCGATAATAACAACAGCTAACAGGAAAAAGAGATCTCCCTCCTCTGAGATGCTCTGCAAGCCTATTAAATATTTATAATCCCAAGCAGTAACTGGAATTGAACTGTTTTGAACTCCTCATCTACTGAGCAGCTCTCAAAAACATCGCAGCAGGGATGCTTCCTCATGAAAGAAGAGCAGAAATTAGGAACAAATGAAGCCAGAGTGGAAAAAACATGGGCAACTGGAAGTACTGGCAAAAGAGGTGTATTTCCAAAGAGTTGGGTTTTTTAATACTGCTTTTGAGAAAAGTCATCTTCCAGAGCAGCTATTTGGTAACTTCAAACTTCAGTATCTCCTCTCAGCCTTGACAGCAACCCCCTTCCCACACAAGTAAGGCAACAGTTGCAGGAACAAGGGAGGAAAAGGGAGACATACAGGAGGACAAGGAAAAGGTGCTGCAGTTCTCTGCACAGGACACACTGGAGCTAGATGGTTCTTTTTTCCAACCCTTAAACAAAAATCCAAATCAAACCAAAATAGCAGAACATACAGTGTCAGGACATCTGATGAAAGGAGATAACTGGGGCACAGGAAAAGAAAAAACCTGGATCAAGAGTGGTCAAACCAAGTGCCTGAGACCAATCAACAGCTCTGGGCTCAGGCAGCTCCTCTAATTCTCTGGCTAGCAAGATGTTCTCCAACTCCCCAGGCTTGATATGCATGTGAGAAGCCAAACGGCAAGTCTTGGGCCTTGTGGGGTCCAAGCAGAATGCGAGCGTGTGTGCAGGCTTGGAAGAGGGAGGCAGCCACACTGAGAGTGAGGCAGGGTGGGCAGGGGCATCAAATGGTCTGATAGTGTTGTCTCAGTCTTGCCTGCAGAAATTCATGGGTCAGGTTGTGCCGAGTGATTATCCCAACAATCTTAAAGAGGAAGAAAAGAGGAAAAAAAGATACAAGTCAGTATCACAGATGTGCCACTAAGAGACATGCATGGTAGAGCTGTTGTTCTTTCCACCCCCCCACCAAAAAGAGGGAACCTGCAAGCAGTTCTTGAATTAGAGTGGGTTCAAGTTGAAATCTCGCCAAAACAATACCCCTCCCTCTCCCAGCACTTTTCTACAGGCAAGACACTGCTTTAACCACACCAAAACAGACAGCTTAACTGTTGCTGTCACATCTGGACACAACAGTAGTTACCCCTGCCTAGGAAGGAAAATCCTGTTCATGTTAGACAGCATACAGATGTAACTAAATCCTTTGGATAGTGAAAACTGTAACTGGAAATAATAAAGCTGTCCCTTATGGCTTCATTAGAGACAATTCTGGTAGGCCAGATCACATGACTGCAGATAGCTTGTATCAGACACATTCTAGGAAGCTCTAAAGACCGAAACAGAGAAATGGTAAAGGCTAGTTAAGTGGCGACTGCATACTGGCCATCACTAGCTGGTGGATCACAAGAGGGAACCTCTCCCAGCCTGCTGGGGAAACAGTCAAATCACACATTTCAGCTGATCAAACACCTCAGTGATTTTATACACTGAGTTTAGAACTAGGCTGCTCTCTAGTACTACAAGAGCATCTCGTACCAAACATGAAATGAGTCAACATCTTGTTTTCAACCAACAGGCTCTGCAGAGTAGCTATTAGGAACCCCAGGAGGCAGAAAAAGCACTGCTGTCTCATAGGGACAGACCAGTTCAGGCTTAAGGGAAACAGTTTCTCACTGTGTTTATAGTAAGTTACTGACACCTACTGGCTACTCCTGAGCATTGTAGATGGCAAAGAGACAAGTACAGCGAATCAAGCAAAAACCATTCAGACTCCTTTATTTTGCTGCTCCTACGAGCAGCAACAGAACCCAAGTTCCCTTCCAGGAGAAAAACCTCCTGTCCCAACACACAGAAATTCTGCTCTTGGCTTTGAATATAGCTGTGAAAGTGGAAGCCAAATTAGTGGCCTCTGATGAGCTAAAGGCTCTCAACAGGTACAAGACAGTAAGAGCATCCACGTGCTGCCAATCTGAGACAGGAGAGAGACTGCATGTCCTGCCCCTTGCAGGGAAAGCAGGAAGCAGGCTTGGACACAGGAGATGGTAACAAAAGTCACAGTAATCAACAATGCTTCAGGGCCTTAAGAAGATCATATTCTGATCTCTTTAAAGCATTTCTGTTTGATGTTAGAGATCTTAATTCTCCTGAAGGTGGAAAACATTGCAAAAAACACAGTGGCTTCCTTGCTCAGCCAATACAAAATGGAGATAAAAACTCACCTCTCCAACTGCATTCACAACTGGTAAATGTCTGAGTCCCATCGTCCTAAACAGGTTGAAGACTTGTGACACATGAGTATTTGGAGAAACAGCAAAGGGTGATGGGTTCATGTATGGGGTGACATCCTAAGCAAGAAAAACAATTATATTATTTACAAGAGGCATTTTCACTATCTCTCGGAATCACTAGCAAGCAATTCCTACAAGTCCTCCAATGCACTGATCTCGGGACAGGGTACTGGACTGTGGACATCTTCTATTTATCCACAAATACAAAATTATTTCAGGAACCTGAATTTGCCATAGTTTGTTGAAACACTGTAACCCATGATTTTAAGAACCCAATGCTGCAGAAAGCCTCTGAGCAGAACAAATGCAGGTCCATGAAAATAAGAATGTACATTTAAAAAGCACTTTGGCCTACACAGCAACCTTCCTGCCACAATGACAGGTCTGCCACTGACTGAGCTGCCAGCACAGAGTTCCAAACAGGTACCAGCAGTCTGCCTGTCCAATCTCACTGAGGCAGGAGTCTAATCTAGAAGGAAGTTAAAGTAGACAGGCAATGCCTTATTCTGAAAGTAAAGCACCTGTGTGCGATGTTACCTCATAGCAGGAATGAAGATTGATTTCCACATGCAGACAAGGCTGACTGAATGCATGAGAAGTACATGATGTTGGTTACTGCACCCGAGGGTGGACTTAAACATGCTCTCAGCCTTTTTTTAAAGGTTTGGGACAGTCCTAAACATATAAAAAAACCCACTGTCATACTGCAGTGCATCTCTTACCACTATCATGCGAGGGTTCAGCAATGTGAGGTCCAGGTCATGGATATCTGGATAGCGGGGGTAATCCTCTGACATCTCTGCATGGGACAGACGAGGCTGACTTGCACTCTGCAATTAAAACAAATCCCACTGAACCAATGTGTCACCACCATCCCAGACAGCACACGGGCTGCAAGCAGCACAGCAAGTGACACCTCCCAATCGCTCACCCAGATCTCCTTCTCCCCCCTCATACCCACACATACAACTCCTGCTGAGGTACTCCTAGCAGCTCAGCTCAGAATGCAGCAGTGCAAGCCCAAACCTATACAGGCATTTAGATGACAGAGCATCAGATCTGCTCTCCAACCTCTGACAGATCTACACTCAACACCTGAGGGCAGCAACAAATCAGCCTTGTGGAAGACAGGCCTCAAACACAATTGCTCATACTGATCTCAGTGATACACCTGACATTCTTCTGGCAAGACCTTAGCACACAGCAGTGAAAACACACAGTATACACTGCTGGTTGCTCTACTTGTGTTTAGTATCTGCCCTCCATTCTCCAATTCTGACAAGACTGCACCTTTATGCAACAAATGGGCCTGTTGGTTTATTTTTTAAACTGTAGCTGTTCTCTTTTCCTGCAGATACTTAAACAGAAATTTAATTCTCTTTATTCTAGACCTGCAATGGAGGATTCACATTATCTGTCTGTAGCTTTTAAAACAAAGATGCATTCCTTCAAGTGTTAAAATAGGTAAATTCTTTTTGGCGGTCCACAAATACAATTCTCAACCTCCTCAGCTGAGAGGGTAGGGATGTCTCTGCCACCATTCCTGATCAGGAAGACTCACCGACTGGCTCTCAGAGTAACAAACACCCCTGACAAGGAGGGTGACCAGCTGTGAGCGTAAGATCAAGCCATGGAAAGTCAAAGGTCTGAAGCGTTCCTCCATAGTCCACTCTTCACTGGGAGACTGGTCAGGATACAGGTTGGGGTAGGGAGTATATCTGTCACAGATTTAACACCACATGTTATAAGTTACATGAACTTAACGAGAGACACATAGCCCACCTCCAAAACAACAAGAGCTCTTTCAGCTCTTTGCAACCTTCTCCTGAACATTTCAGGGATGCTTGCTAGAGACAAACAAGTCTTTTCTCCACCAAACAAAACAGCAGAGAGGGGTCAAGAATCACTACCATGGGCAGAGCATGACAACAGCAGCAGAATGAAGACAGTCTAACTCTCAATTTCAAATCACCTGCTGCTAAAGCAATTTTCAGAGCCAAAATATTCAGATTCTAGTAACAGCTGAAGCATCTAGCAAAACATCAAGGCCAGGATTCTGTAAGACACTTGTAAGAGTCACAATCACTGGGTTAGAAACTGATGCACTAGACTGGGCTTCTGCTGGGAAGCAACTGCAATACAAGCCTGGTAACTAAGCCCAGCTACCAGAAAGGTGGTATCAGTATTATAGGACAGGTCACTAGCTCCTCTCTTGGCAGAAGCGAGCTTTGCAAAGCCCTCAGTATTTTACAGACAAGAGGGCATCAATTCCTAGAGAGAAGACATTTCCCCAGGTATTCCATCCTCACTGGTAAATATTTCTGGATAGGGGTTTGAAGGAAATTTAAGTTAACAGGTTGGACATCATCAAGCTATTAAAAGATGACTCGGTCACAGGTGTGACCCCAGCACTGGCTGATAAGACCTGACAAGTCACTTCTCCTAAACTGTGGAGACTAGCACTGTTCCCTCTGACATACGGAATGACAGGGACTGTATGAGGTGTCACAAGACATCTCAGCATATGGAAACACCCTCTTTCCATACATTTGTGCCTACCAGGCTCTCACCTTCTCTCTAGCATCTGTTGCAGCAGATCCTCCTTTTCTGGTGGCTCCTCCGTTGCTACGTGCTCATCGCACATGTTACGCAATTCACTCGAAGGGTAGGATTTCATAGACTGACTGCGCTTGCGCTGCTCTCCAGCTCTGGTCAGGATGCTAGATTTCTGGATACACCAAGCAGTTTTCAGAAATTCACTCAGCAGGTCAACAGGCATTCAAAAGCAACTATGAACTATTTGATCACAGCTCTGTGTTATCAGGTAAGGCGTTCCCTAGTGCTGCTGCAGTATTTGTAAGAATAGCCAATAGTACTCTCCTTGGACAGAGAACCTGAAGTTTAGGAACTTGGGCACCGGTTTTTGCTAGAGCAAGAGTATGCCACAAGCACATTCTTTATTCACTCTGACCTTAAAATTTTAAGTTTCCCCAAGAGATTAAAGCATCTGCCCCACAACGCCTCCTTACAAAGGGGAGAAGCATTTTGGCACCTACTACTGATCTCAATGGTCATTTCACTACTTCAGTGCCAAATTCAACCTTTTTCCATTGTCTATACTAAACAGGTTACTTAGTCCTCTTAATTGTTGCCTCCAGGAATGCAGCGCACTCTTCTGCCTTTACCATGACCCAGAGAGCAGAATGAAATCGAGTCCTTGAAAATTCTGTATCACAGTAGTGTTTATGTCTGACCCGAATTCTGCACTGACAAAGCCTAGATAACAAAAGAAAGGGCCTTTCACCTGCAAAACAAAGCTCTTCACCCTGCAACTTATCAAACAAACAACTTTTTACCTTGAATTTGATGTTGTTACTTATCAGTTGATTTCCCTTCATGAACTCCCTCTCGTTGCCCCGATTCTCAGTCACTACAGGGAAGGCATGATGGACAGTTGTGCGCAAGATGCTAACAAGGGACTGGATCCTGGTGTGAGGGTAGACGTATGTCAAGTTGGGTTCCATGATGTCACTAGCTCGTAGTCTGAGGAGACAGAAACCCAAGAGTGCTGCATGCATTACATCAGCAACAGAAGGCTGGTGATGGACAAACAAGGAAACAAACCAGTCCCAAAATGACTGCTCCTTGAACCTGTGTGGTCACCGTCACTGTGTCATTAGCAGTGCCAGCACAATTGATTTAAAAAAAAAAGTTTGTTTGTTTTTTAGCAGAACATTGCATCAATGATGCATTACAAGAAAGGAAAAAGGTTCCATCTTATAACATACAAAGTGTTTAAACACTAGTGGGAAAAGACAACAGGTGGAGAGAAAATGAGCAAAGTCCAGTGGAACACTACCATGAGTTCTTGCTGAACCTCACAAATCTGCTCCTCAGATCTCCACCCATCCACCCCTCCTCAGAAAGGGCTCCAGCACTCCTTCCTGCCACAGGCCTGATGCCCAACTCCCAGCTCCTCTCACAGCAGTCCTTCTCACAGCTGCTCCTCTCAGAGCAGCCAGTTTTATTGGAGATAAAGCATCATCCCCCTACATTACAGCATTCCTTTCTGAGCAAGAACACTACCACAAGCTAACCCAAGAAGAGCAGCCTTACTTATCCATTTCCACTTCTGTTTCCCACTCCAGAAGAGGCACTCCTCGCAAGTTCACGTGGATGTCATAAATGCCTTTGTTGAAAAAGTCTCCTGTCCATTTGGCTACCTACAGAGAAAACAGAAGGTCTACTGAGTTGCTGCTCCAAGCACAAGATTCCTTGGCTTATCGTAACCCCAGATGGAACAGAGATTCCAGGCCAGGACAAGTTCAAGCAACCTGCAAGAACCCAGAGCTAAGTCCCTGCACTCACCATGAGGGTGATCATTATTGGGAGCCCATAGGTGATCTCATTGGTGGATTCAATTAGGATGACAGTCAGGCTAATTGTCATGCGGACCACTCCTCCCAGGAATGCTGCTGCCCCGATGAGGGCAAAGGTTCCCGAGTAGATGTGATCCAGGCCAATGTAGCTAGGGCAAAACACAGAGCCTGGAGGTTAGAACAACCTGAGAGTTCAGCATGTGTCTGCAGCACATCTCTCACACGCACGCACACTCGATGCACCTTTTGAGGAGGTTGGCGACCAGGCGTCCGAAGGCAGCCCCACAAAGCAGTGATGGTACAAAAAGACCACTGGGCACAGAGATCCCGTATGTCCAGCAGGAGAGTAAGAAATAGAGAAGGAAGAACAAGGACAGTGTGACTGGGCTGAAAGTACCTGCAACACAAGAAGAATAATAACTAAGGGGCACAGGTCTGTCAGCCAGACACCATCCACCCCTCAGCTCAGCAGGCTCATCTCACAACAGATAAACTTAGTCGTCTCCCAGTCCAAACACACATGAAGACAATGAATAAGTGAAAAAGAGAGGAAAAGCAGGTGTTTCTTTCCACCGGGGGGGCTTTAACCTGTAGTACTAGAAGTCCCCCAGAGCCATGAAGGCCTGAAGATGCTCTGAGCCTTGTGGTTCTTATGTCAAGGCTGCTTCAAGCAAGATAAAGCTCTGAAGCCTAAACATGGGATGGCGCACTGTCTCCTAACTACTCACCATCCTGGTGAAAGAGCTGCAAGATAGCTGACTCCTGAGGGTTGAAGAAGAGTGTGGCCATGTCGTTGTAGGTTTCATTTGGGCAGAAAAAAGTTTTGACACTTGAATTCACATCCTCTGACATACCCTAATGCAGGACATAAAAGACACAAATAGTTAAAATACCCTCTCTCCTGCAATAGCCTTTGGGCAGAATAGGAGTAACCCTTCCATATAGGGCTGTCAGCTCTCACTTTGGGAAGTTCAGATCAAACACCAGTAGCAGAAATGGGGCCTGCAGCATCACTGGGCTCCCTGGTTCACAGCCTGAGGCACAAAAGCACAAAGGGTAGCTTTCATTATTACCCTAAGCTCCTGCAACTGACCCCAGGCTTTCACCGGAGTTCTGTTATGTACGGCATGCTGTTAAAGCTCATTATGTGCCTGTGCTTCTCTGGAGGGTGACCGATATGATGGGGACATATAATCTTCACAGAAGATCCCTCACCTGCAGGCCGAGAGTGTCGTTGCCACTATGACTGTTGGAAGACATCTGCCGACATTCCCCCAGAACCATGGAGGCTACAAAGACCACAACCGTGGTAGTCAATGACACCAGCAGGCTCTCCAAGACTCTGCAAGTACACAACAGAAACCATACACTGAAGCCACACTCAGCCCTGTAACCCAGACCCAGCTCTGCACACAACTTTGATAAGGCTGCAAGAAGCAGCAGTCACTACAGCTTAACATCAGAAACAGAGAACTCTGCAAGTCAAGCTGAATTATGACTTGGTTGCCAGGGATTGCATTAACTCTCCTTTTTAATTGCCTGCTCAAAAAAAGGAGCTATTTCTGCCTAGAGAACACGTAGCAGTCACGTATACAAAGGCACAGGGAAGGGTTCAGTGATGAGGCTGTTCACATGGAAACAATGTTCTGTAGATCCTTACAGGGTAAAAGGCTAGACAGGACTGGACAGGTTGATGCATAGTCTCTCATAATCTCTTTTCTTTTCTAACTGCCGAAATGTACTTTTTTTTTTTTTTAACCTCAGATTCTTATTTAGGAATTGTCTAGAACAATCAAACAGCTATTTTCCAGAATTACATAGCAATTCCCTCTATAAATAGCACAGATATTAGCTCAGTTGTGGATTTAATTAACCAAGATAATTAAAAAAAAAAAAAAAAAAAGAGTGGGATCAGCTATTCCTTTCACATCTGTTTGGACAAGACATAAAAAAATACCACACGGTCACAAAGCTCTGGTTGTTCAGCTATAGCCTTTGTTATAAAGAGCTCCCTTCACAGCCCCTGTAAGGGGGGTTGCAGCTCTCTCTGCACCACCAGAGTAATTATAAAAATGCAACTGCAAGATCTGGCTTCTGGTGTTCACTTTCAAACTCTATGGAAGCTTCGTTTTGTGATTTCAAAAAGAATGCGTCTGGGATTTCCTCCAGCCCCACTCACTGGGTCTTCTAGACTGATGCTTTTGCTTTGGGACACTGAACACAGATCAGAGATCCCCGCACAAACTCAAGTGAGCACAAATACCTGACCAGCTTTGGCTTGGGATGCACATTCCGCATGCGGTACTTTGCAAGTCTCTTGTTCAGGCAGTTGAAGGTGGCTCCGAGAAGGCCTCCTACAATCCCCATCAGAATGAAGAAGCCCAAGTCCACAGCTGTCCAGAGGTGGCATTTCTTATCAGACTCAGAGCACTATGTGCAGAAAAGCATAAAAACCAGCACTGCAGTAGTTGCTGCAACTTCCTACCAACGCTTCTGTCTCCAAAGCAGGAGACCTACAGTAGCTATGACAAAAAGGAAACAATTCTGTCTTAGGCTATCAATGCATTGCAGCTAAGTATAATTGCCCTTCACTGAAATACAAACATTAACAGAAAAAAAAAAACCAACATAACAACAGAAACACTGAACTGACAAGAGACTGGAGGTGTGGGGGAAACAACAGCACTAAGTCTTACCTTGAACTCCCCAAAGTTCAGCAGCCCAGGGAGCTGGAAAGACCCCCAACTTCCAAACTGAATCCCAGAGCGGAAAAAATTCAGGGTGAAGGTGGCAGCCATAGAACAGAAAAGCTGAGGAAGTAGAAAATAAAGAATAAAAAGGAAAATAGTGAAGACTCCCAAAATTAAGACTAGCACAGTGAACTCTTCCATGAGACTTACACTGGGGGAAGGGAACCTGAGCCTTCTCAGGCTTTAGGAAAATAATCCACTGAGGTTTAACACTCATCCCCTGATGCAAAAGAGAGCAGGGCCAGACTGGACTACTATAATCATCTGATTTGGTTTCCCACACAAGAGGTTAGGAATTTCACCTAGTAGTTCTTACAGCAAAAGCTTTTATTTTGTCAAATATGTCAATTCGCAGTTGCAAATCAATTACAAGGCACTAACACAGCTTGTTTAGAGTTGGAATTGAGGTATTCATTGGCTCCAAGAGAGCTGTTATCTTGGCAAATCCCCTGTCTCCTTTTATCACTGTTGAGAAAGAGTAAACTAACTGAACCCCATCAACAGGTCATTTGGCGTAAGAAATGCCAAAAGCATTATGAAATCCAATACATTTCTAATACACAGTCAACTTCATTAAGTAGGCACTTCGGGCAGAGAAAGTGGCAACCTGAAGGCACAGGGCATTGCTGCAATACAGCTCCCCAAGGCAGAGAAAAGCAGAAAATAATCTAGTACCTGCCTACTCTGCTCCCAAAGGATCAGACTGCAAAAAGCCCAGACACAAAAGCCCTTTCTCCCAGGTACACTAAATATGGTGCCTACAGCATTGCCCCACAGTTCCACATAGTACCAGCCTCATCTCTGCTCTTGATCTGTAGTAATTCTGGAGTGCTGATAGAGCAGGCAATCTCTCTCCTGCCAGGAGAGCTCAGGAGGAGACAGGATAATGCCCCCATGGACCTGTGCTCTCAAAGGTCCAGCTCAAGGAAGAGACACGCAGAAAGAGCCAGAGTCACTACTCACCACTTTCCATGTAAGTCCCTGGTTCCAGAAAGAGGAACCTTCTTCCAAGCTGAAAAGAGTACCCCCAATTGGGGCTCCAAAGGCAGCTGCAACCCCTGCAGCAGCTCCAGCAGATACAAAATCCCTTTTATCCCTGAAATGAAGAGGAAAACAATGTCAGTTTAGCAAAGTAGAGCTCTGGAGGTACTTAGGTTCTTCAAAGTAAGGGACCATTCCCATTTATGGGTATATCCCAGGGAGCACCACCACAGAGCAAAACTCTGGCACTACACAACTGCCCAGTATACAAGGAACCATCCCAAACCGTGGGACTCCAGCATCACTTGAAAGAATTACAGAGAGGGAAGGGCAAGGTTTTGCTCAAGTTTCATTTTGTTGATCCAGGTGAACCAGCCTTCTCTGTAGTATGCCTTGGTCATAAGGGACAACTGAGCTTGTTCCCAACAATGAAGCCATTTAACCATTGAGATTAAAGGTTTTAAATGGGTAGAGATTTGCCAAATAGTACCCAAAAAAAAAAAATCAATGAACATGAAGACAAAGCATGCAAAGCATCATGGTGTCAAGACCTGGTGTTGTCCTGCTGCAGAATGAAACTGCAGGGCACTAGAGAGAAAGTGAAAAAACAACTGACTGATTCATGCCAGCCTGCTACCCCTCTCCCGAGGAAGTCTGCTCACTCTTCCTCCTCTCCCCTCCTCCACATCCTGGGTACAGTACCTGTCACTGCGGAAATGGGGAAAGTTAAATTGGATCTTCCTCAAAGAGATGCTCTGGAACTACAAACAAAGAAAAGATTTAGAAATGTAGGTGACTGAAATTTACTTTTTTACAGTACTCTTACAAAGCAGTGGTGTGACCAGGACAGCGACCCAGGCCAGCACTAACCTGTGGCAAACCCGCACCCACAACAGCACCACTGTGAATCATTGGACCCTCCTTCCCGACAAAAAGACCTGGAAAAACAGGACTGATGAGGCAACACACTCCGCCCTCACCCCTGCTGACCTCCCTTGCTGACAATGCCAGGAGAGATCAGCTCACCACTCCCATGCCATGGCACAGTCCCCTGTGCCAGGCTTGCAGGTCCTCCCTCTCCCCTCAAGGTGAAGTGCTGACCCCTGCCCCCTCAGCTCCCCAAATGTTGGTGAAGATTTCCACAGACTTTGCACCCCAAGTGGGTGGAACCATTTAAGACAGGTGTTACAAGGCCTCTGAACATTACTTTGCCTGCTGCCTAGAACATCGCCTCCTTCAGGCTGCTCTAGACGATGTGTTCTGGAGGATCCTCACATCTCACTCAGACTGAGCCACAAAGAGTCACTTCTGATTAGCCCACCCAGAAAAGTACCTGTTTCCCAGATAGTCCTGATCCTTCTGTCTATTTTTTACTCCATATACGCATTCAGGGCTCATGACTCTCCTCCAGTCAATCAAAATCATTTTACAGGAAAGGCAGAAGAAGCATTCTGTGCCATATGTGCAGCAGGGACAGCATTTTTCCCCCCTTCAGCGATTTCTTACCCAAACAAGAACAATACATCACAGCCCTTCTTACCTCCTGCCACACTGAAGAGCACTCCCACGGCTTTGCACACCACTGTACGCAGACGCACAACCCCTGGAACCTTTACCCCATTGAGGTAGCACTTAATTTCAGGAATTCCCGATCCAGCTGCTACAGGCTGCAGAAAAGAAACACTGATGCTGTGCTGCATCGACTTTATAGCTGATCAACAATATGTCATCAGAGAGCACAGCAAGGGACCAAGAGACCCTGCTTAGCTAAATCAATTAGCACTGTGAAGCTAGTTTGATGTCTTGGGGCAAAAAGCGTTTCTGGCAAGAAGGATACTTCATACCCAGGATCTGTGTGAGAAGAAAGGGAGACTGTGTAGGGAGAAGCAGCAGACTTAAATCTTACTTGGATCAGGACTAGAAGACTGGCAAGAAAGACAAAGGTCAGGTTGAACCCCAGCAGTTCCAGCAAGGACAATGCAAGACAGCCTTTCTCAGTGCATTCTTCCACCGCTGCAGGGACAGTCAAGGAAAAAAACAACATTCCCTCCACCAACACACAATCATTCAGTACTGTCTGAGGGTCCCACCAGCATCAGGAGCCAGGCCTGTGCTTTCTAATCTAGCCGGGGCAGCTGACACAACCCATAAGGAAGCCAGACTTCCTTTTCAGACCTCAAGACTGAACTACAAGGAAGGGAAACCATTCTTTCAGGGATTAGTCTTTGCCTACATACATGGTACTGGAAATATTTATTGGTTTCAAGGGCCAAATTGCATAGGCAAGTTGAAAACTTGATTAATCATCAACGTTACTGATGGCAGAAGTCTGAGAGTCAGCTGTTCTGAGCAAAACATTGCAACAGAAAGGAAAAGGTCACTTGAGTCTAACAGGAACCTATACACTAGGTAAAAGATACAGCTTTGTACTACCCGGAACTTGAGCTGGGTAAATAGCCGTACAAAAAAATCCACAAAGAGGCCCACCTATGAAAAAGAAGACAGATTTGCCATCAGAAATTATTACATACAAGTAACAAAGACCACCCTCTAGTGAGTCCTGCCAGAAGTATGCACACATGGGAGGACAGAGGATGAAGGCGGCAAAAGAAGGGTCATTCAGAGTACAGTAACTCGGAAGCTCACATTTGCTGCCTCCCTCATTCCCACTAGGACAGATCCATCCTAGAATTATTCCTGAAGATATGCATTTCAGAGTACTAATGCAGTAGCATTTTTAACACCCACAACATACTTCAAGGTACAGAAGAAAGCTGGTGTTAAACTGAGGCATACAGTCACTAGAGCTAATTTTCAAACGCTCTAGAAAGTACATGCAGTGATGCTAGTATTGTCAAACAAAAAAATACAGTTCAGCTGTAAATTGGCATCCTTTTTATGATGTGTTCACTTTGGACAAGTTTTCCTGTATGTAGAATTAAAGGATTTGCCAGAACACTTTGCAAAGAAAGCACAGCAAGTTCTAAAAGAAAAAAAGGCTTTTTGGAAAATAATGTAGCAACAACATGCTAAAATTCCCAAAAGACAACTCTAGCTACTAAACTCTCCACTTCATGAAAGAGAATGTTTCTTCTTTACTCCTCAGCCATTGACTTCTACATTATTGCTGCTTAGTCTCCTGAATCTTCCTTATTCCCCGGAACAGCATGTCCCTTACCAGTCCTGTGCAGACTCCAATAGCAAAAACCATCACCCACTTCACTGCTTCATACCTCTGGGCTTTCTGTTTAGGAAGAGGACAAAACAACAAAAACAAAACACAAAAAAAACACCAAGTTAAAACAAGTCAAAGCAATATAGAAACAGGGATCAGAAAAAGGCAGTTTTGGGCTCCACAGCTCAGTTACAGCTAGAGTGATACAGAACACCACCAACAGAAGATGGTGACAACAGCAAACTGAAAATATGGAACTGAAAGTGCTGAACATCTCACTTTAAACCTGAGAATCAGACCAGATGCCAGGCGCTATAATCTCTGCACACATTTTTATTCTTTTCATAAAGAATTCAAGAGAACACATAGAATTTCTTTCATAAAGAAGAAAAAAACCCACAAAATATGAATGGTTTGCGTTGGAAAGGACCTTTACAGACCATCTAGTCCAACCCCCTGTCAAGGACAGAGACACCTTCCACTAGACCTGGTTGCCCAGAGCCCCATTCACGCTGACCTTGAACACTTCCAATAATGGGGCATACACAACTTCTCTGGGAAAATTGCTCTGGGCAATTTCCACAGTTTCAGCTCTCAAGCTAATGAAAAAGAAGGAACAGGGTCCTACCTTGTTGTCCATGCTCTCCAAAACTTCCAAGTATGGGTCATTGATACAGCGATCATAATCCAAGCTCTGAAAGAATGCCAAAAGATCAATTTAAGAGAATCAGCTGCAACAGACTGCAAAAAACTATGGATAGAAGACCTTTTTACAGGTTACAGAAGTCATTACTCCCCCCCCAGTAGGTTTTGCAAACAACAGTAGGAGAAAAAACTCCTGGAAATAACTTTGTTTCAATCTTTCAAGCAGAGCCAGGCCCTGAGAATCAGGAAGTGAAAGAACAGACCAATTTCATTGCCCAAGCTGAGAGAGATACAGGAAAACAGGAGAAACAGGTACATGACTGATTAATACAACCTTAACTTGAAGTCACACTGTACAGATTCAGGCTTTACTTCAAGTGCTTCCAATCTGACAGTGCAGGGAATAACATTTGATCTTTGTATTTAACCTCTTCCTACAACAAGAGCACTAGACAGGAATTCCTCTCCAGATGAACAGAATCAATTCTTAAGCTTATCGCAGTAGTTAAAAGCAATATAGTTGCCCAGTCATCTTCATGAAGTAACACTAGCTTCTATCTACATCAAGTTCACCTTCTCAAGCTAAGCAGTAACAGGCTGAGCTGGTGACACACATGCTGACAGCAACTGCTCTAAATAGCACAAGGCCACTATACAGACATACAAAAAGCTAAATTTTCCTGTAAGATGCAGGATCCCATAGATGGGGAGATCTGCTGTGAGCCAGCACGACATCAGAGACAGCAGTAAGCAACAATGACCAAGTAGCTACAGATGCTTTTTACAGTCATGAGGAAACAAGACCACTAAAGCCTATAAATCTCATCTAAAAAAGTGGAACAATGATGCAGCAGACGCCGAAAATGAATTTTCTCAACAAGAGTCTGACTCAAGCAGCAGATATTCAAGCTCTACTCACAGAGCTTTAACCCAGAAATGTATTATGGTAAGGAGCAGTTCTTTGCAAGTGCAGCAACTCTTGGTATTTCTGCTGGTGCCAGTGATGCATTTGGAGTACCTGCCCCATTACAAACTCAAACAGATCAAAACCTGTCCGCAGTTCTTGTCACGTTAACGTCACATACTACTATCAGTTAATTTCCCACCTCATAGTCTTTGCGTGGAAGTATCTCATCCTCCTCTTCGTGAGTTTCTCCTAGGATTGTCTGCAAAACAAACAAATGTGGGAAAGTAAAATCATCAGGGGAATGAATGCATGTACAGGTGCTCATGAACACTGGTGGCAAAGGAAAAATGAGGGAAGGCCTATGTCACTATTGCTTAGAAAGTCAGAGCATGGATTACCAGACTACCATTTGCTGTGGGTAACTGTATAGGGTCTTACCTTGCCCCTCAGCAAGAACACACTATGTTACTTCTATAGGGGAGCTGCCCACAGCATAGCACTACACCCACATCCCAACTTCCCTCACAGCAACAGGTCCCAGGGAAGCACGGGACAGGAAACCTGCACAGGCCGCACTCCCCGATGCCAGGCAGCCGGAGAGCTCCCGCGGAGCCGCTCTAACGGCTGCCAGGGTGCTGCACCCGGGAGGCGCCGGCCACAGCGGCTGGGATACCAGGCCCAGCCAAAGCAAACGCTGACAGGCGTGCCGGGACAGCGCGGGCCGAGGCTCTGGCAGCAGTGGCTGAGGTACCGGGCGCAAGGTGAGGGAAAATAGCGGGAACGGGCTGGGGCTGGGGCTGAGGCGCCGGGCCGAGCGCTGGCTGAGGTACCGGGCTGTGCGGCGCCGGGCCGAGCGTCTGGCTGAGGCGCCGGGCCCTGAGGGGCCGGGCCGAGC